AGGGAACTCCTTTGTGGGTAACTGTCTCCTTTTCTCTTGCTGCTTTGACGATTCTGTCCTTATTTTTAATCTTGGGTAATTTAACTATGATGTGTCTACGTGTGTTCCTCCTTGGGTCCAAACTGTTTGGGACTCTCTGAGTTTCCTGGACTTCCTGGACCCTGGACTTCTGGTTCCTTTGCCAGATTGGGAAGGTTCTCCTTTATTATTTGTTCAGATAAGTTTTCCATTTCTTGCTCTTCTTCTTCTCCTTCTGGCACCCCTATGCTTTGGATGTTGGAATGCGTAACGTTGTCCTAGAGGTTCCTAAGCCTCTCCTCATTTTTTTGAAATCTTGTTTCTTTCTTTCTTTTTTAAAAAAGATTATTTATTTATTTATTTATTTTTAGAGAGGGATAAAGAAAGGAAGAGAAACATCAATATGTGGTTACCTCTCATGCATCCCCCACTGTGAACCTGGCCTGCTCTGACTGGGAATCAAACCTGTAACCTTTTGATTTGCAGGCTGGCACTCAATCCACTGAGCCATACCAGCCAGGACAAATTCTTGTTTTTTCATTCTATTCTGGTTGAATGTTTATTTCCTCTTTCTGTTCCAAATTGTTGGTTTGAGTTATGGTTTCCTTCCCTTCACTGTTAGTTACCTGTATACTTGGCTTTATTTCACTTTGCACAGCCTTCATTTCTGCCTCTATTTTCCATCCATAGTCATTTCTGTGAGCATCCTGATAACCAGTGTTTTGAACTCTGCATCTGATAGGTCGGCTGTCTCCTCGTCATTTAGTTCTTTTTCTGGAGCTTTGATCTGTTCTTTAATTTTGGCCATATTTTATTGTCTTGACACACCTGTTATGTTTTAAGGGGCACAGCTTTAGGTATTTGACAAAGTGGGGCAACCTGCTTTGCTGTGTTGTGGTGTCACGTGTGAGGAAGGGGTCAGAAGGAACAGTGCTGCTTGCTCGGTTTGAACTCTGATTTCAGTCACTTCCCCTGCTACCCACAGCAAATTGGGCCCTTCTGGTGCTGATTCCCAGTTGGGAAAACTTGTATGCATTTTGGGACTCCATGGGTCTCTCTAACAAATTCTCCTGTGAGGCTGGGAGTTTCTCCTGCCACCCCATATGGTTTTATAGCCAAAGATTTTGAGGCTTTATTTCCTCAAACTGGAACCATGGGTTACTTGATCTGTCTCACTCCCTAGTTGTTCCTCCTGCCTTTCCTTCAGCAAATGTGAGATATCCTGGTCTGCCAGTCTTCCCGTCACCTGCCTGGTCCACCACCTTGCCACATGTCCTCTGGGCCCCTCCTACCCGTCTGCATGAATGTTTCTTCTTTCACTCCTTGGTTTTCAGACTTTCATACAGTTCGATTTTCAGGTAGTTCTGGTTGGTTTTTGTTTTCAAATTTGTTGTTTTCCTTCTTTTGATTGTGCAAAGAAAAAAAGCCTATCTACTTATGCCTCCATTTTGGCCAGAAGACCAAAATTCTGCATTGTGATGGCAGCTTTTGAATCTCCCTTAGTCACTCAGGCTACTGAACTCCCATTAAGTCTTTCTATAGCTTGTGTGTTTGAGAAAATCAGTGTAATCCTCCTGTGTGGAAATGAGGATGTGTCTGTGGTTTTGTTATAACTCACCATACACACATCCTAGTACACACACTGTTTAGTTTAGATGTTTAGGTGCTTCCTATGGGGTGACCAAGTGGGAAGATCCTTGTGGTTTTCTGTTTTTTAGGAAGGAGGGCAGTTAAGTCCCATGGTGACTCCAGAGTTCTGATTACTCCATCTGCCTTCTCAGTGGTCACTGAGAGACTGAGAGAATCAAAAGGACTGGGGACTACTGGAGAAGTTTTTCTATTTTCTGACCCCTTTAAAAACATCTTATTTCTGAGGCATCAATTTCTTTCCCAGCACAGTATTTTTATCATTGGTTACTTATATGATAACAATTATTTATGTTATTTAGTGGTGCTCGTTGGTCCCTAGGACCCTTGATAATTTAAGTGCTATCATCAGAAGAAGGTTCATAGTTTGGCCCCCAGCTGGCAATGAACACAAGCTTAGACCCAGTAGCAGCCAGGCTTGTGTCTGTAGAGGGTAATGACTGGCATTGGAGAGCTAAGGAGTACACACTCATGGTTCACAGTAAGGCACTTGGGATGAGGTAGGAAAGCACAGCACAGGCAGCTGAGCAAAGCCCTACTATAAGATGTGACAGAATCATACACCTGTCCAGGGAGCCCACTGAGCCATGGTGATGAGCCAGGTACCTTTGCTCTAGACTCAAAGAAGGCATTGCGTTCCCGTCAGCCCAGCTTTTTGGGATCCATCTTTTAAGGACAAAAGAGAATCCCAGTGTGGATCTTGGTTTTGAACAGAGGTGCTAATTCAGGTCACAGGAAAAGCAGTGGGGACCCTCATCTGGAGGTCTCACATGGCTGCCTTTATTATTTAAGTCAGGACATCCTGTTCTTCTAAGTCACAAGGAGCCAAGTCTCACATACACACGGGAGAGTCAGAGGGAGGAAGTTCCTGCAAAATGGTTGATCTCTCAAGCCTCCTGACTAGCTGTAGAAACACTCAACCTCCCCCAAATCTGCTAGATTTTGAACTAGAAATTTGGGGATTTTTTTTCTTTCCCAAAAAACAACATTCTCACTACCAGTGTTATAAATAGTATTTTGAAAAATAAAGGTAACAACAAACAGACAAAAACTAATCAAAGTTCAGGAAACCAGTGAGTCAAAAATATCTTTTTTATTCCTTTAAAAAAAATTTTGTGTGCCTTAATTTATAAATAGAATCATATATTATATACATTCTTTCCTGCAACTTTTTTTCTCTCTTGTCTGTGATTTTATGGTTCTTGTTTCTTTCATCTCTGGCCTTGTCCTCACCTACCTGCACCCCTCTTTCTTTTTCTTCCATCTTCATTCTTTTGTGAAAGAACAAATATGCTTTTATTTTCAAAAAGGCCAACCAAAAACATTGCCTGTGATGAGAAAAAAATGTTCAGTCATTAAGAGCACAGGTTCTGGAGCTAGACTGCCTGGGGTTGATTCCCAGCTCTATTACTCAGTCGGGCAAATTACTTAGCCTCTCTGTCTCTGAGTTTCCCTACTTGCAAAATGGGGGTGCAGATAGTAATAATACCTACTTCTTGGGGATGTGGAAAAATTGAATGAGGTCATGTTTAAAGCACTTAAGAGCAATAGCACATGGTAAGTGTGCACTATATTTTAGTTCTTATTGACTAAGAGCTTCTCTTTCAGTGTTTGCGTGTTTTAAAATACAGCATTCTCTTTCTGGCTATCTACTCTGTGAGCATAACCCCTTCTCTCTCTCCTCTTCATTCTGTAGGCTTCTTTTTCCTCTTCTTCCTCCTCATCCTATTTCCATAAATTCTCCTACTCTCCTTCCTTCTCTCATATGTCTATTCTTTTCCCATTTCCTGTAGTAGCCACTGTAGACAAAATAAGCCATAAGAGCCTTGTAGCCACCCAAAGCCATTGTCACAGCTGGGGCTATTACAATTTCAAGCCAGTTCAGGCTCTCAGTCAGATTGCTTCCATCATGAGTTGCGCAATGAATGCCTCAGCAGCACCAGACATGACTTGCCTGAACGTGGGAGAGATTCACACTTGAGCTCTTGGGTAAATTGTGAGGCTGGGGATACCATAAGGACTGGAGCCTTTGTTTTCAAGGGCTTGACTCCATTCTTGAGCCTCAGAACATAATCATTGCCATTAAGGAAGGGAAGAGGAACACAGTGGGACTGGCAAGGCACAAAGATGGTACTCTGTACATATTTATTAAATTTTATTTATTCATTTTTTATTGTTGTTTAAGTAGTTGTCTGCCTTTTCCCCCTTCCCTATATTTATTAAATTAATGAATGACAACTGCTTGCAGCACAATCAAGGAAGGAGTTTGAGCTTTCTTACTGCGAACAAAACTTCCTCCAAACTAGTGGCATAAAACAGCAACAGTCATTTTATTATTATTGTCTCTCATGGTTCTAGGTGTTGGCTGGGCTAACTTAGGAGGTTCTCACTTGAGTTCTCTCATGCATTTGACGTCAGGTGGTGACTAGGGCAGTAGTCTCCTCAAAGACTTCTTTCATGTGTCTGGCAACACAGTTGATGCTGGCTGTCAGATGGGAACGCAGTAGGGCTATTGGCCAGAACACATACACATGGTGCTCGCATGGTCTGGGCTACCTCACAGCACGACAGCTGAGTTCCAGGGTGAGTGTCCCCAGAGATAAGCAGGAAGAAGCTGCATTTCCTCTTCTAACCTAGCTATTACTCTGCCATGCTCAACTGCATGGAGGAAGTCATTAAGGCCAGGCCGTATTACAGAGAAGGAGGATTAGAATCCACTCTTGATAGGGAGAGTGTTAAAGAGTATGATCTGTAGATATATTTTAAAACCATTACAGTCTTCAAGTTTTGGAGTGCTTTGGAATATTTGGAGTATGCCAGTGTTTCTATAATTAAAGGAACACCAGACAACAAACACATTCACTTCATTTTGACAGGACTGCGTCTTTGAACCTATATTCACAGGGTCTAATTACCCCTTCCTTAGAGCTTTCCAAGACTCCATGTGGGGTTTTTTTTTTTTTTTTTTAGATTTTATTTATTTATTTTTAGAGACAGTGAAAGGGAAGTAGAAAGGGAGAGAATCATCAATGTGTGGTTGCCTCTTACCTATCTACTTCTGGAGACCTGGCTTGCAACCTAGGCATGTGCCCTAGACTGGGAATTGAACTGGTGACCCTTTGGTTTGCAGGCCCTCACTCAATCCACTGAGCTACACCAGCCAGGGCCAAAGACTCCATATCTTGATCATAGCCCTCCTTTCAGGTGTGAGGCCCAGGGAGTGGAGAGATGAGCCATATACCACCTATGCCATCCTGTGGGCTTCCTGGGCAGTCTCACAACAAATGTGTCAGCACTTACCATCTTCATTCAACATCTGCCATTCCTCCTTCTAGGGATTATTCCAGACAGAAATCCAGGAATCTGCTAAGCCATTTCTTGCCAGGTCCAGAATAGCCCAGATACAACTAGGTAAATACAAGACAACTAAGTATCTTACTTTCTTTCTTTCTGAGCCTGTGACCAGGGAGGTTAATACTGTGGGAGCTAAAACAAATATTAATACACTTCCTCTCACCCTTTTAGTTCTTTCAGGCTGGACTCATAACCAAATTAAGAGAGACAAATTAACAGGAAAAAATTTAAGTTCAATATGTATGCATGAGGAATTCACATAGGCATGATCATTTCTATGTGAATTTTAAATCACGGCAACAAAAAGCTGTGATTTAAAATTTAAAAAACCCACAGATGTAAAGTACAGCATTGGGGATATAGTCAATAATATATAATAACCATGTATGCTGTCAGGTGGATACAAGACTTATCAGAGTGATCACCTAATAAGTTATATAAATGTCTAAGACCACTACGCCTGAAACTAATATAATATTGAATGTCAACTGTAGTTAAAAATAAAATAATAAGCCCTGTCCAGGTAGCTAAGTTGGTTGGAGTGTCATTCCAGTACACCAAGCTTGCAGGTTCAATCCCCAGTCAGGATATAAACAAGAACCAATCAATGAATGCATCAATAAGTGGAACAACAAGTCAGTGTTTCTCTCTCTCTCTCTGTTTCTCTTCTCTACCTTGTCTCTTGCTCTAAAATCAAATTAAAAATGAACTTAAAATAAAAATTTAAAAGCCAGTCAATAGACATTTTAAGGTAAAGATTAGAGGATAAAAAAGAATCTCAGAGTTGGATCTGTGCTTAACAAAATTCTGCATTTCTTTTTTTTGGAAGTTTTTCCTTTTTGTCTTTTTTAAAGTGTATCTTATTGATTATGCTATTACAGTTGTCGCTTTTCTCCTTTTTCTCCTCCTCCTGCACCTCCCCTCCCACTAGCATTCCTCCCTCTTAGTTCATGTCCATGGGACATACATATAAATTCTTGGCCCCTCCATTTCCTATACTATTCTTAAGCTTCCCTGTCTATTTTATACCTACCATTTATGTTTCTTATTCCCTGTACCTTGTCCCCCCTCCTCCCCCCATCTCACCTCTCTGCTGGTAACCCTCCTTGGTATCTCCATTGCTGTGATTCTGTTCCTATTTTAGTTGTTCGCTTAGTTTGTTTTTGTTTTTAGGTTCAGTTGTTGATAGTTGTGAGTTTGTTGCTATTTTTCTTTTCATAGTTTTGATCCATCTTCTTTTTCTTAGGTAAGTCCCTTTAATATTTTGTAGAATAAAGGCTTGGTGCCCTGTCTGGTGTAGTTCAGATGATTGAGTGTGGGCCTGTAAACCGAAGGGTTGCCAGTTCCATTCCCAGTCAGGGCACATGCCTGGGTTGCAGGCCTGGTCCCCAGTTGGGGGCATGTGAGAGCAACCACACATTGATGTTTCTCTACCTCTCTTTCTCCCTCCCTTCCCCTCTCTTTAAAAATAAATAAATACAATCTTTTTTTTAAAGGGTTTGGTGATGGTGAACTCCTTTAACTTGACCTTATCTGGGAAGCACTTTATCTGCCCTCCCATTCTAAATGATAGCTTTGCTGGGTAGACTAATCTTGGATACAGAGCCTTGCCTTTCATGACTTTGGATAGTTCTTTCTAGCCCCTTCTTGCCTGTAAGGTTTCTTTGCAGAAATCAGCTGATAGTCTTAGGGAACTCCTTTGTGGGTAACTGTCTCCTTTTCTCTTGCTGCTTTGAAGATTCTGTCCTTATCTTTAATCTTGGGTAATTTAACTATGATGTGTCTACGTGTGTTCCTCCTTGGGTCCAAACTGTTTGGGACTCTCTGAGTTTCCTGGACTTCCTGGACCCTGGACTTCTGGTTCCTTTGCCAGATTGGGAAGGTTCTCCTTTATTATTTGTTCAGATAAGTTTTCCATTTCTTGCTCTTCTTCCTCTCCTTCTGGCACCCCTATGCTTTGGATGTTGGAATGTGTAATGTTGTCCTGGAGGTTCCTAAGCCTCTCCTCATTTTTTTTTTTAATTCTTGTTTCTTCATTCTGTTCTGATTGAATGTTTGTTTCTTCCTTCTGCTCCAAATCAGTGATTTGAGTCCTGGTTTCCTTCCCTTCACTATTGGTTCCCTGCATCTTTTTCTTTATTTAACCTTGCATAGCCTTTACTTTTCCTCTATTTTGTGACCATCCTCAACCATTTCTGTGAGCATCCTGATTACCAGTGTTTTGAACTCTGCATTTGATAGGTTGGCTGTCTCTTCATCATTAATTGTATTTTTTCTGAAGCTTTGATCTGTCCTTTGATTTGGGCCATATTTTTTTGTCTCTGTGTGCTCCTTATGTTTTAAGGAGCAGAGATTTAGGCATTCGCTGGGGCAGGGTAACCCAGGTCACTGTGTTGTGATGCTATATGTGGGGGAGGGGTCCAAGAGAAAACAATGTCACTTGCTTGGCTCTCAGCCAGCTTTCAGTCACTTTCTTTGCTTTCCACAAGCAAATTGGGACTTTCTGGTGCTGATTCCTGGGTGGGCGGGCTTGTGTACATAGGACCCCACGGATCTCTTCAACAAACTCTCCTGTGAGGCTGGGGGTTTCTCCTCCTTCCTCAACTCTCAGAGGTTTTTTCAGTCAGAGGTCTTGAGGCTTCATTTCTCCATCCTGGAACCCTGGGTTTCATGGTCCGTTTCGCTCTGCACTTGTTCCTCTGGGTTTATCTGCATGCAAATATGGGACTACCCAGTCTGCCAGCAGCCACCTTGCCGTGTGCCCTCTTTACCATGACTGCCCATCTCCACCCCTCCTGCCAGTCTGAATGAGTGTTTCTTCTTTAACTCCTTGGTTGTCAGACTTCCATACAGTTCAATTGTTCTGGCAGTTGTGGTTGTTTTTTTTGTTTTTAAATTTGGTGTTATCCTTCTTTTGATTGTGTGAGGAGGTGAAGTGTATCCACCTACCCCTCTATTTTTGGTAGAAGTCCCCAATTTCTCTCCATATTTTGCTTTGCATTTTTTATGTAATTAAGTCCAATATCTCTACATTCTTCTATTTGTTTATCTAGCTTAACTTGCACACATACATTGCTTTAAATGCTATATAAATGAATTTTAAAGTTTATGTAATTTACTATAATATTTGCCCCATAATTTTCTTATTCATGATCCTACTGAATATATGAGTTTATTCAAATAAATCACTATGTATGTTTTTTTCAGTTTTTAAAATATTTCCTTAAGATTAAAAGACTAACATTATACCCAAAGTGAGAGTCCTAATTTTAAGCTTGTGACCAGTAAATACAAAAATGCATGGGAACAGAGAATGGGGGAGAACAGGTACTGGTCACTATAATCACCAAAAGATGTATTTAGTACCAACTAGACTTATGGCCACATTAGTCACTAAGACATAGCCTTTGCTCTTACAATTGAATTAAAAGTTGTCTCATCATCTAACTTGCAAATATGATCTGCCAACATACAGTCTACAGAGAGAGTGCAGTGTACAAACAGGACACCACACGAGAATATGCTGTGGTGAAAGACATAGAATGTAAGTTCTAGGAGGGACTTCAGTGACTTTACAGAATAAATAAGTGAAAGTAAGGCAACAGAACTCAAGTGTTTCTGAGTTTATAATCATAAAGTTTTTAAGAAATAGGTAAATGAACTTAGGTACTTTAGGTTCTGATCATTAAAATAAATTTTTTGGGCTATAGATTGATTTAACACAAAATAATGTCCTCTAACCTGAGTTGGCTGACCAAGTTCACAACCATATCTGCCTCTGCCCTGGAATTTGGTTGCTGACCCAGCAATTCGCTTGTAGCTATGTCTGTTGGCTTCCTTTGCATGAGTCTTGCAGGTCGTTTGACTTCTCAACTGGCCTGCTGGTCTCAGGATCACTGAGGTGCAAGGTGGCAGGCATGATCTCAGGGGCAGATGGTGATAATCATGGAGGCACTAGGTACCCTTGTTGGTAAGGTACCAGTGGAAACTGTCTAGGCAAAGTATTCCTTCCTCAGTAGCTTTGTGACTTGAGAGACTGCATGGCCTTCATGACCTGAAGGTTGGGCACATTCTTGTACGCCAGCTTGGGGTGCTTTGACATGTTGACATTCTCTTTGGCCATTGTCACTCTGTCGTTACAGAGGAGTTCAAAAATAATGATATTGTCCTTTGTGGTCATCAACATCTTGTAGGGCCAAAATACCCCATTAAACCTATTCCTGTATAATAGGAGTTCAGACAATGTGCATCTTCAGAAGAGAAGGAACTCCTGGAGGAGGACTTAGTTCTTTCTTGTTTTCCATTTAGGGCTGTTCACAGAAAATCCATAAAGTGCTCATTTTGGTAGAAAGGTTGAGAGACTTGGGAAGAAGAAATCTTTTCTTGCACCACTAAAGAAAAACAACCATATCTTTTTTAAAGTCTTATTTCACTTATGTTTATCCATAAAAATGGAAAGGGCATGAAATCATAATCTGTAGAATTCCCTAATCAGTCATTTTTGCGTACTTGCTAAACCTCACCTTTGTATTGACCAATTTCTGCAACTTCCAAAGGCAGTCAGAGATTTTTTACTCTGCCAGAGGAAACAGGAATTTATGAGACTTTTAGATCAAAAGCTCAATCATTAACTCACCACACCTACAAACTCCCCATCTTACACAAAAAAAAATATGGGGAGAGAGTTGTGCTTCTCAGCTGAACGTCCCCAACACGCAGTGGGTGCCCGTGGCATGTCTCCTGAGCAGGAGAGCACGGACGGCTGAGCAGAGCGCCACCAGCACTATCAGTTCTGATACACACTCAGGGCTAAATCCAGCTTTGATTGGACCTATTTGGTCCAATTTTTTAATCCTTACCTGAGGATTAAATATGTTTATTGATTTTAGAAATAGAGGAAGGGAGGGAGAGAGAACGAGAGAGAGAGGGAGGTACGTGGATGTAAGAGAGAAACATTGATCCATTGCCTTTAGTATGTGCCCCAATTGAGGATCAAACCCACAACATAGGCATGTGCCCTGACCAGGGATCAAACCCACAACCTTGTGATGTATGGC